GAATCTCAATTTACACCTCCAAAGATTAAAATTTTAATTTGCACCCTCAAAGATAGAAAATTGTATCAATGTACACCCCCAAAGATCAAAAATCTCAATTTGTACCTTCAAAGATAGAAATTTGTATTAATGTGCACCTAAAACTAAATTGATAAATTATACCTAGATCCCCTCATGTTTGTCACTTAATCATTTGAAACCCTTCACATTTAGAATATTACCCCTACATCTCATGACGTTTGTACATGTGTGAAAATAACCACTTTTCGTTGATATCTATTAATATAATCGTTAAAAAATATGATTTTATCTTAATAAAAAATTATAATTTCATATTACCCTTTATTTTGTGGATTCGATATACTCTAAAGTTCAAAATCAAGCTTACCATTTGAATGTCTAATAGAATGTAGATATTTATAAAAAGGAAAATATGAAAAACATTATATAAATATCTACATTTTATTAGACATTCAAATGGTAAGCTTGATTTTGAACTTTAGAGTATATTGGACCCATAAAATAAGGGTAATATGAAATTATAATTTTTTATTAGGATAAAATTATATTTTTTAACGGTTATATTAACAGATATCAATGAAAATGGGTTACATGTTGTACGTGCATAAATGTCATGAGATGTAGGAGTAATATTCTAAATGTAAAGAGGTTCAAATGATTAAGTGACAAACATGAGAGAATCTAGGTATAATTTATCAATTTAGTTTTAGGTGTATAATGATACAAATTTTTATATTTGAGAGTGCAAATTGAGATTTTTTATCTTTGGGGTGCACATTGATATAAATTTCTATCTTTGATTGTGAAAATTGAGATTTTTTATCTTTAGGGGTGCACATTGATACAAATTTCTATCTTTGAGGGTGCAAATTGAGATTTTTGATCTTTGGGGGTGCACATTGATACAAATTTTATCTTTGAGGGTGTAAATTGAGATTTTTGCTCTTTGAGGGTGTAAATTGAGATTCGAACTATCTTTCGGAGTGTAAAATGAGATTAACCCAAAATTCAAATATAATTGTTGGAGACAACATTTCGTATTATTACTTTAAACGGCACATTCTGGTCAAAGTATATTTAAATAAAATACCTCACTTCTGCAAGTGCAATAAATTAGGATCAGAATACCAGGTTAAAATGAATTATACCATAATTCTCTATCAAAGAAGCAACGTAAATGATTGGTGTCAGAATTTTTCACTGATCAGTTGTGATCAGTCTAATCCATGTAAGACTTAGGAATTTCATATGGAGGATGTTAAATAGTCTGGTCGGGCATAGAACCATCTTTAGTTCATATATTTCACAAATAATGGTCAAGAATTATATATGGAGCATTGGAATTGCATGATTAATGCATACGTATGATGTTTCTTAAATAGGAAGGCCAGAGGGAATCCAACCTAAATTTGATGAAAAGACATAATGACCTTTGGCGACAAACAATAACTTTGTATGGAATAGATTGGAGAGGCAAGATGCATATTCTTTGTGCCATTTCAGTTTGGCTTTCATATAAACAATTGGGTAAGTTCATCATGAGCCACCCTAACATTTCACTAATGGCACATCGACTCCTTGACAATTGTAAGTAATGACACACAATCAGCTTCTGCCTAATAAACATTACTGAAGGCAGTGATAAATGCTTGTCAGCCAAAAGTTCTAATAATTCCAGGAATGCCTATCTAGTGCAGGACTCTAGTCTTGTAAGACAATTTTGTACTCAAACTATCAGATGAAAAGATAATTTTGCCTCTCCAAATTATTTGAATAATAGAACAATTTATTCAATTAATACTTACTTCAAGATTAAATCAAAATAGGCAAATTAAATAAGTTAAAGTTCTTCATAAATCGGAACAAAATCTAATCCATTTCATTAAATAAATTAATCATATCATCAAATTCAGAACAAATAGAAGCAAATCTGATATACATTAATTAACTAATTTAAGACCCAATCAGACCAATTTCATTAATTACGGCAACTAAATCTAAGAAATTCCATCAATTAAGCTAAATTTATCCTATGTTCGAATTCCATATAATAAATTACATTAATTAAGCTAATTCTATTCCCAATTAAACGAACTATATGTTGAAAAGGTCTGTTATGAAAATATAAACTGATGTTAGGTTATGTTACATAGGATGTAACCCTTAAGGGTATTTTTAGTACCTTTGAGGTTATATATATATATATATATTCGGATGTAGCTATGTACCCTAACTCATAGTTATTAGTATCGTACGATACGTCACGATATACCTGAAAAACGATACGTATCATGTCTCTGTATCGTTTTTACATTGTATCGTCCAATACACAATATGATACAACCGATAAGTACGATACGTGACGATTCTATTTTTTTTTATTTTATTTTGATTTTTGGGGCTGAAATGACATCATTTAATACTAAAGTTTATTTTTAAATCACTAACCAATGAAATGACGCCATTTTAGTGATTGTGGTTTAAAAAAATAAAAATAAAGTATGTTGTTAATATTATTCAATTGTGTTCAAAATTCCTGATTAATATTAAAGTTGTTCAAGAAGTTAATGTTAGAAATTTGAATTAGAGGTCTTTGAATTTTGATATTACTAAACTATGTTGGGAACTTGAATAGTTTGTGAAGTATTAATGAAATGTTATATTATTATGAATCTATATTTTTTTTACAAAGGTATATATATATATATATATTATTAATAATTATTTAAAAATTAAATTGCGCGTATCTTACGATACATAATACAATACAATACACTATTTTTTAAAAACGATATACCTTTCAATACGCGATTTGACAACTATGCCCTAACCCACTACTCTCTTCTCATATTTTCTCATTCTCTCTCTTTCTCTTTTCTCGAAACTCTAACGATATCATAATCTAACTTAGCATTAGAGCATGGTCACAGGCTTGCTTATAATCGGTCTGAGCTATTGCATTGGATGGGTATTTGACTGTGGGAGACTACGAAGCCTAATGAGTCACCCCTTTAAAGTCGTAGCCATCTGAAAATGTTTTGGCAATGTCTTGGTTGCTCAACTCAACGCAACCCTCTATCAGTCGTGATTTTTCATTACTTAATACTCCAAATAAAATTTAGACTACAATATCCCATACATATTCTCAACGGGACAATGATACTAAGGCTTATGATCTTTGAAAGAAAGTTAATCAAAAAAATAGGACCCTTGTAGTCTATTATACAAAGTTGACTACCATGTGACTGGAGCGTGAATAATACCAGAGTTTCCCCGTAGATAATGCTATGAAATTTCACCAAATGGTGGAGAATGAATGTACATGTCTTTCATTGAGTATGATCATATTAAGATTCAAATTTTGGGTCACAGACCATTCTCCACTTTACAGGAAGCCTATGTCCAAGTCCAACTGGAGGAGAACAACATGATTGTTATGGTTCATGCAACTATTCAAGAGCAATTTGAGTTAGCTGTTATTCCTCTGCGAGACTTGAGTTCATCCCAATTCAAGTCTCTTGAGTCGAGTGGCACTACTGTCAAAGATACTTTAAAGTGTGATTATTGTATGAAGACAAGACATACTAGAGAGTTTTGTTGGAAGTTAACTGAACGTCCTGCACGTGAACAAGGTGGTGGCCAAGGTGGTAATGTGTGATCTCATGCACATATGACTAAATCTTTAGAGACTCCACCTTAGTCTAGTGGCACCACACCAACATTTTATCAGGATGAGATGCACACTCTTTGGCATACAATAGTGTATCTTGATGTTTCCTCTACCACAACTCCTAATCACGCATCTTTCTCTAACTTTATTCATACAAGTATATCTAATGTGTTGCTGCATCATCTTCATCTGCTCCTTAGATAATAAACTCTGGAGTCACTGACCAGATGACAGGTTCTTCTAGTCTTTTTTCTTCATACTCTACATGATCAGATAGGGATAAAGTCAAGGTGGCGGATGGATCCTTATCCTCAAATTATGGGAAAAGCTGAATTAATTGTTCTATCCTCTGTTTTCCATGTTCTCGATTTCTCCACTAACTTGTTGTCTATTAGCAGTATTACTAAATTCTTGAATTGTTCAATGACCTTTTTTCCAACTCATTGCATCCTTTAGAAACTAGAGTTAAGAGAAAACAATTGGCAGTGGTAGAACATATAGTGGTTTGTATATCCTATATGATGAAGCTTCCCCTCAATCTATTTGTTAGGCTCTTCAGGCAAATGGTGTTTCTGTACTTCAGATCTTACAACAGTGGCACAAATGTTTGGAACATCCCTTATTTGGTGTTTTAGAGCATATTTCCCTAGTCTAGTAAAGTATTGTTAAGCACAAACGCTCTTATTATCCTATTGCTAAATAATAAAAGCACTAATCTTTTTATTATCATTCATTCTGATATATAAGGACCTTCTTATGTAGCATCTCTACCAGATTATCGTTGGTTTCATTTTTATTGATTGTTATTTTTGTCGTGGGTTTACATACTACGCACTAAAAGTGAATTTTTTCTTACTTCCACTCTTTTCATAAACTGATTGGTATCTAGTTTGATGCCAAAATTAAAGTCTTTCACAGTGAAAATGGAATGGAGTACATTATGGAGAATTTTGCTCTTACCTCAATGAAAATGGTATCCTTTATCAAACTACTTATGTGACTATCCCAGAACAAAATGGTGTTACTAAGCAAAAAAATCACCATCTTCTTGGGATTACTCATTCCCTGATGTTTAACATCAATGTCCCCCACATTTTTGGGAAAATGTAGTTCTTACCATAGTTGTTAAATCGAGATTCGTATCGTGAATCGGAATCTTAAATTTGTGAATCGTGAATCGTATCGAATCGTGAATTGTAAGATTCGGCACAAAATTCAAACAAATATAAAAAATAACATCTATATAGTTAAAATAGGTAATGTATTGAATTTTGAGTACTATTACATTGTAAAAATAATCAATTGACATAATCACGTAGTCTAAATGGAAAGACGCCAGCCTTTATGGATAGAAAATGTGGGTTCAAATCCCACCGTGATTGATTTTTATATATTATTTGCAATTTGCAAGTCAAATACAATATAAAATAAAGCATATATCAAGAGAATATGTATCTATCATTGATTCATTATAATTGTATTTCAAGTATCAAAAGTCAAGTTACAGAACTATGGTCCCAAAAAATGAGAGGTGCATTAAATGACAACAAAAAGTCAAGTTCTAAGACTCATAAAAAAAATAGTTGTAGTCACTAGTCAATTTCTTCAATCATCATTATCTCCAAGGTCAAGATCTTCATCATCATCATCTTCTTCTACTTCAACCATCTCTGTTTCCTCATCCTCTTCCATTTCCTCATCATCAACCACTTCAATACCATCATCTATCTCAACAACTTTAGCTTTGCCTTTTTTAATAGCATTTAAATCCCTTGGTCCTACAAATAATAATTGGTAAATGACTAAATGGAAAACGATATATAATTATATAAATATAAATATATAATAAACAATAAAGATTAAAGAATACCTCTTTTTCTCTTTTTGCTAGAAGATGCACTTTCATCAAGTTGAAAACATTCATGAACATCCATCCATGAGTTGTCTTCTGGTAGACATGGATCTTCACTTTCAATAATCCACTCATCATCGGATTCCATATCCGATAGGCAAATTGGATCATATGTCTCATTCTTTTTTGTCTTTTCAATTGTCTCATTTCAAGGTCAATGTTGTACTTCACATAAACGAGAGCATTTAATCTTTGTTGCTCCAAGCGATTCCTTTTCTTAGAATGTACATGATCAAAATCACTCAAATTTCTCTCACATTCCGTGGCACTACACGTGAGACTTAATACCCTTATAGCCAATCTTTGGAGTTCTTTGCAATCATCTCCATAACTTTCTTACCACAAAGCTATAAAAAAAAAGATTTAAACTAAAAAATTTAAACAAGATACCTATATAGGTTAGTTTTATATATAATGTAAAAGTAAAATCATGTTCTTTAATTCTTACCGGGTTGTTTCTTATCTCTTGTTAACACAGTCATGCTCATAGAAAATAAACCGTCAGCCCTCTTGAACTTCTCTAGTTGCTCATCAATAGAGATTCTTGTTTTGATATCTGGGTACATTCTTTCAATGGTCATATACAAACCAACTTTTACTTCCTTATCGGCGTTAAAATTTGGATCATATTGGAACCTAAAAAGAAGTTACTTGGGATTAAAATTTGGATCACAATTTATATATGAGTAAATGTAAATATGAAGTGTATTTGTGAACTTACTTGGGATTAAGAAAGTACCCTGCCGCATGAAGTGGTCTATGAAGTTGCATGTTCCACCTATCATCAATAATTTTCCAAATTTTTTCATATCTTTTTTCCTCTCCTTTGAAATTTTGGGCAATTTGTTCCTTAGCTCTATCCATTGCTTCATATACATATCCCATGGCCAGTTTAACATCACCATCAACTAACTTCAACACCTTAACAAGTGGAATCACAGCTTTTAAGCAATACTTGATTGCTTTTCAAAATTTTTGATCATACAAAATTATGCTTTCCACTTTTTTAGCATCAATCTTTGAAGCAAAAGGCCCATTAGCCCAATCTTCCGATGAAAACATGCATCGAAGACAAGACTTTCTATCATCAAAACTTTTTAGGGTGAGAAATGCAATGGCAAATCTTGTAACCGCCGGTCGTGTCAATTCCATGTTGTTTGAAAACTCTCTAAATTTACTAAGCACCTAACTATGCCTATAAATGAAAAGTGTAACTTCTTTGGCTTTTGAAATGGTGTCACAAAAAATTGGCAAACCACCAATATCCCTCAACAGTAAATCAATGCAATGAGCGGAACAAGGAGACCAAAATAACTTCCTCCAACAACCCAGTGTTATTTAAGGCGTAAAGCGAACCGAAGCGACCAAGGCTCCTAACACCTAGGCGAGAAGCGAAGCAACACGCTTTACCGAAGCAAAGGGAACAATTAAAAAAAAATATATTTTAGTTTAATTACTTCTAAACAATCTAAGTTATAATTTTATATATACTAAATATTTAAATGCAAGTAAAATCATAAACATTTAAATTAAAATAAATACTAATAATATCTCAAATCTTAATAACAGTCATAACTTAAACATTTAAATTCAAACAAATACTAACAATTGTATACATTTTTATATTGACAGGGTAGGACAACAAAAGAAGTAGAATCAGGACAGCAGCAGAATCAGCAACAAAAAAAAAACAAAATGAGGATAAAAAAAAACAGAAGCAGCACAGGACAACAAAACTGAAACAGCAACAGAATCAATAAAAAAAAATAGAAGCATAATGAGCTAAAAAAAAAAAACAGAAGCACAATGATCATGACAAGAGCAAAATCAATTGTAAACAATTTCATATGTAATTATGTATTGAATAAAAAAAATAGAACAGAGACACATTTTACATGTATTAAAATAATTAAACATGGTATAAGCATAGACCACTTTTTGGTACCATTTGTATATATATAAGAAAAGGAAAAAGTATAACCAAGACAAATCAGAGACCCTTCTTTGTAGAAGACTCTATTATTTACCCTCATTCCTGATACTCCTGTTTTCTTTCTTTATCATAATTTTGTCATGCAGTCGCCTGACTCCCACATCCCACAAATATTCTAAATGAATTCAGCAACACAAGGAAAAAAAAAAGAATATGTTTTGTTTGGAACATTGTTTATTAGAAAAAAAAAAGACCATCGATAGTCTAAAAAAAAGTCATTAGTGATTAAAAAATAAAAGAGACTACTAACCTGTAATCAGAAAAAAAAAAAAAAAAGAAGCAGAATCGCCTCTTATAATAAAACGTTCGCTTCTTCGCTTTTTTCTTCGCTTTTTCTCGCATGGGGTCCTCTAGGCGAGATAAGCTCGCTTCGCCTCGCTTCTCGCCTAGGCGAGCTTTTCAAAACACTGCAACAACCTACCGGCGGCTACATAAGCCGAAGCACTATCCGTCACCACTTGAACCACATTCTCCTCTTCAATCTCCTCCACCATTGAGTCAACTAACTCAAACAACTTATTAGCATTTTTTATAACCCCAGAAGTATCCACTGAATTAAGAAACACCGTTCCACTAGGGCTATTAACAAGAAAGTTTGTGAGTGAACGTTGTTTCCCATCGGTCCACCCATCCGACATCAAAGTACAACCGCCTTTCTTCCGTTCCATTCTATATTTATCCAAACTTACCTTTAACATTTTTCACTTCTCTCTTCAAACAAGTAACTCTAATCTCATGATAGCTAGGGAGTTTTAATCCCTTGCCATACTCACCAACCGATTTCATCATCTTATCAAACAATAGACTTTTAACTAAATTAAAAGCTAGTGCATGCCCATAAAAGAAACGACATATGTCTTGAACCACCGGTTCTCTTTTCTTCACCAATTCATTTAATGTTTGTTGTCTTCCTCTAGCACCTTTCCCCCTTGCCTTTAAGCACAAAAGCATCCATGGTTTGGGTCCCCCTTTCAACATCCTCTACGAAACATTTTTTTCCTTTTGCACCTTCCAACATTCGGGAGAATTTTTCTATAGCATCCGGTGGACATTGGTTACATGGTGCTACATCAACACGAGTTCCCGCAAAATGATGTTTCATTCTACTCACACCCCCCATTTCTCAAGGGTACAATAATTGCACTTCAAGTGCATTCTATTATCACCCACATGAGAACAATGATCTCATGTCGGATATTCATTCTTTTTTTGCTTCGCTTTTATATTCTTCTTTACCATTTTCAACTTCAAGTCTTCAACAAGAAGTAACAACTGAAAAGAGAAAAAAAAAATAGAACATATAGTTAAGACTTTAGAACATATATATAGTTATTACAATTTACAAGAAGCAAATAACAGAACATTACAAGAAGCAAATAAAGGAACAAAACTCATTTTCGACACAAAACACCCAAAATAGAAGAAGGAGTTCCAAGCTTCCAGGTTCCGGCCCAAAGCCTTCATCAAACCAGGCTACCAGCAACTTTTTCATTTCAGAATTTCAAACAAATCAACACTCCATTTCAACCACAAACACCCAAAAATACAAACCCCATGGACAGCCGCAAACACAAAAAAAATCAACACTCCATGGACATGGACAAAAATCCAGCAACTCTAGAGTTCAAAAAATCAGTAAATCTCATGGGCTGTGTAAAGAATAAATTAGATTAGGACTTCACAAAAATCCAGCAACTCTAGAGTTGTACATCCCAATTAATAGCCACTGAACAACAAAAATAGTTTCATGGGACCTCTCCACATTCATAATGACCATGACCCCATCTAGACTCATATTCCTCAGCTTGAGAATTCACGCAAATTCAGGTCAGATGCTTGCCACCTGGCAAATCACCTCTTGACATGATGACTTGTCTTGATCTATATTAAATTGACTATAGATGTCTTACCGTTTGGCTTGTTGACTTCAAATAGTTTGACATTTTTTAACAGTTAAGCACTTCTGTTTGAGATTTACTGATTTTCTTTATTAGTGAAAGACCAATGCAAAAAACAGAGCAACCAAAAAACAGAGCATGCTTCAGGTGAAAACCAGAGCATCATTTAAAGGTGGGAACCCACATTTGTATTGTTTATACACAAAAACCCTTATTCATATTCCTCCACCCACAACCCACATCAACGAAAAAAAAAAAAAGAAATTAAGAAAGTAGGAAACTACAACAATACAAAAACATATCACAGCTTACATAAAAATAGAGCAAAACTTGAAGAAGACGTAAAGCCTGCTATAAGGCTGTTACTGTTTCACTGCGGGTAAGAAGAAAAAGAAGAAGAAGAAAAGGAAAAGACATACCTCAGACTTAGAGCCGATGATGCTTCAGCCAGCTTGGGGTGGTGGGTCTCCTTCAAGGCTTCAACAGAAAACATTCTTCGGCAAATGAGAAAGAGACAAAGCTGGAATATTTATTTATTAGGGCCTGTATCCTTGAAAAAACGACGTCGTTTTGACGTCTATGTGGTGGGTTTAAAAAAAAATTGAATGAATCGGACGATACATCGATTCGGTTCGGTTCGTACGATCCGTGCGATTCACTTACGATTCAAGACCCAAATCGACTCATACATAAGATACGAATCGCTCACCCCATGAATCGAGTCGAATTGTACGATTCGACTTGCGAATCGTACAATTTTAACAACACTAGTTTTTACCACTGCTTATCTTATTAATCATCGACCTTCTAGTGTTCTATAGTTTAAGTCTTCTATTTAGTGTCTTTCTGGGATTTTACTAATTCTTTTTGTTTCTTCTTTTCTTCTTGAAGTTTTTTGGTGTGTCTGTTTTGTACATGACTATAGAGCATCTAGAGGGAAACTTGATCCTAAAGCTCTGCGGTGTGTTTTTATTAGTTATTCTCTCACTTAAAAGGGGTAGAAGTGCTACCATTCACTAGAAGATGTATGTTAGCATGGATGTCACCTTTTGTGAGTTTGAGTCTTTTTTTTCTCTCCTCCCCAACCATCTCTTCAAGGGGAGAACACTACTATTGAGTAACAGATGATGTCTTAGGAGCCCTTTCTTTAATTGCTTTTCCAGTGGGATACTAATAAGGGGGAGCAACATATTGTTGGCATCAATGATCCACCTGGTACTCTAAAGCCTTGCTCTCGACGTCGGAAGGTACGGACCACTTATGTTTCTTCCGGGTCAATTGAATTCTTCTACTACAGTTCTAGCATCTTCTACTGATTCACCAGGTAATGAGCTTCCAGTACCCAGGGTATTGATAATTCAACTATTGATGATTTTGGGGTTCGTATTGCAATTAGGAAAGGTGTTCGAGGTTGTACTCAACACCACATATCTAACTTTGTTTCTAATGATTCATTGTCTCCATCATCCCTCGTACCTTTGTTTCTTGCTTGTGTTCTATCTCTACTACTCAAGGTTGGAAGGAAGTTCACACTAATCCAAACTGGTGAGAAGCTATCAAATCACAAAAAAGATCAATCAGACTAATGGATGGAAGGATGTTTCCCCTTTCATATATGATATCAACGAAGACGGTGATGATCGCCTGATGTCCATTTGCTTAGGCCTTAAACATCTGTAAAGAAGTAACAAGTAAAACAAAGAACTTGTACAAAAAATCTACCCAATATAGGGCACCACCCTACAAAATAAACCTCAGTTGCACCACTGAAATTTTTCAAAGGGAATATAAAAGGATCAAATTGTAGGTGCAGATGAACTTTACGTGATATCCATCCAATTAATTTGCATTTCTCTCTCTCGGTCTCTTTTTTGGGGACAACTTGAAGTGCTAATTTTTGTAATTCAATTATTTTCTTCTTACTGTTAATTATCCTTTCCTCCCTAATTCAAATCACATAAGCACAAAACAAATACTCTAAATACGAGTCATATGCATAACCCAGTCCAATATTTAAGGATTCAGGGAAGCCCAGAAATTTAAAGACCAAGTCAAGAAGTGCTGGGAGCAGTAACTTACTCATCCAAGATTTGACATAGCATCCAACAAAAACTTATATTTCAACATCTATATAGGCAGATATGTACAATAAATATATGTATATATAAATACATGCATATATCTGAGAGGGAGAGAGAGAGAGAGAGAGATGAAACACAAGAACACACTCACGTCAACGTCAGACAAGTGCCCTGCCATTATTCTTAAAGGCTGTATTCTGTCCATAGACCAAATCCTTGCCGTTCGGTCATGTGATGAGCTGGCAAAATAATGTCCTACTGGACTAAACTGCAATCAGGAGAAAAAACAAAAAGGACATGAGATTAGCTGATATGTGGAATGTGTATTTTCATGCTTCAACTTTAGCATGCATGGGTACATGTGCACCAACATACGCGGGACAGGTAATGAAGAGGGGAAAAGAAAAGGCAAAAATACTAAATGTATTCCACACATAAAATTCCTCGCAAAAGACCAAGTATGTTTAAGTCCCCCAAAAATTATTGTGGACATCAGAACAAGTAATAGTCCAAAGAATCTCGAGGTAACCATAAGAAATGTCTTAAACAAGTTGCCTAAGCACTTCAGAATGTACAACAAATCAGTGATATAATGTGTTACATTATGAATGCCACATTATCCATTTCCAGCGTATGTGTAATATAAAAGAAAGACACTTTGTCTGGTTAACCCAGTTTATGCAGAGCCTATGTATATGTAACCCAAGAATGAGCAAAGCCACGCCAGGTCAGGGTGCATGGCTGAGCAGACGCGTGGTAGAAAACCACCTTGGCCAGGTCCTCTCCCGTCCACAGAAGCGGAATGCACCTAAGGGTCCAGTTTATGCAGATCCTTGTGACGTCCTTCTATCAATATAATCTCTACTTAATTAAAGTACCAAATATGAGTTCAGCGACTAATTTCAGAAAGCTCTGGTTCAAATCGAGCTTCTCCAGCATCAACAAAGAATAAAACTGAGAAGAAACTTCAGTCTTTTGAACCAAATATAAGATGGCTAATAAATAAGTATGAGCAAGAAATGCATCAATTAATTGTGAGAAAGACAACAGATGTCATCCACAAAACGGAAAATGAAAAAACAATATCAGCAACATGGAGAAAATGGTTAGAAACAATCTTGTTACACAGGTTTCTCTTTAAGTTTTTCATAAATAAAGCAAGATAATGTTGGTTTGCATTTCTTTCTTTTGATGAGTAAAACATGATAATAGTGATGGCAACTTTGCAAACAGGAAAGTTTCTTGCACATTTTCAAGTTTCCAAGGTACATTTTACATGACCAAGAAAAAACAGAGAGCAAATATTATACCTTAACATCCCATACAGGGTAATTATGACCCTTGTAGCAGACAAGATTGGCATTTAATTTAGTGCTCCACAATCGAACTGCAGCATCGTAACAAAGTTCAAGTTATACAGCAGTTTCAGAACTGATATCAGTTTATGTTAAAGCACGAAACTGAACCTCAACTAGCAACTCTTTGACTAAAGATGACAAACAAAACAAGAAGCTACATGACAGCTGAGGATAACATACTTGTTGAATCTGATGAAGAGGACAGAAGAAAATCCCCGAATGGACTAAAAGTGGCCGAGTAAACAGGTCCAGAATGACCTTGAAATAATGTATAAGATCTTCTCCCATCATGTGGTCCAAGCTCATGTTCACCTGAAGCCGAATCCTCACCCTGCAAAATAGCTGGCATAATATTGTTTAATACTATTTTCACTCTATTTTCTTCCCCAGGTAATTACCAGAATTTCCCTTTAAAAAAGGCAAGATACAGACTTCTCTTATATTATATTTAGAAAAGACAAATAAACAACAATTTTCACCATAAAAGAAAATAAAAAATAAGGTGCAAGTAAAGAGGGCACGAGCCTCTTTTTTTTTTTTTTAATATTATCTAGAGCATAATGATAATGTTTAAAAGAACATTTGTCCGAGGATCTGCTGATATTTTACACTTAATAAGTCTCTTGATTTTTTAGGCTTTATCATCATGGGTATGTTGGTCTTTCAACAGTGCTAGACACAGGCACTATTTTTTGGGTCATTTTAGGTCAAAATAAATGGATTGGGAGTCATAATGCTGATATTATTATGAGAGACTAACAACCTTTGAAGTGAAGAGATGAATTGCACTTGGAGAGCTGTGTGAAACTTTAAAAGCCATTTAGGATGTTAAATACACCTACATTGTTTCTCAATTATCCAAAACTTCGGTTGCTGACGTTGATAAATCTCACTATTTAGGACCTTATTCACCGATTCAGGTCTTTATTGGATTGGGAAATAGTTTTGCTTATCCAATGTTTCGATATATCTAATAACAATACAACACATTCTGCAAAGGATTCCAATGAAGCAACTGGATGTCTAACTTAGCCCCATATGACAAGGCCAATCAACAGAGATACTTTAACAATTCATCCTGGAATGTATATCTCATACATAAACTTCTCTCTCTCTCTCTCTCTATATATATATATATATATATACACATCTAGCTATAGGCCACATTTATAAATTGTGGTTCACTTTTGCTGATGCTTTGATGGTGAATTTTGGCAATGCAAGACTCAAAATGTATGCTAAAGAATGGAGGTTTGAGTCCCCTTCAATGCATAATATTGAGAATACTCACTTCATGAGCACAGCAATATGAGAGTTTGGATGATGTCTGCCAATAATAATTTTTATTAAGACCAGCCGACACATCTATTAAGGCCAACACTTCATACCTTGTCCATTACTACCAAAGAACTAAGATATCACCACACACGAAAACATGGCTTGATTTGAACAAGCTTAAATATAGAATTTCACACAAGAATTTGGAATACTACAGATTAACTTGCAAGAATTACTGCTAAAAATAAAGTAAGTTAACAGTAATTCATAAAGCGGTCAGTCCAGAAAATAATTGTATGTGAAGGGTTAAAAGAGGTTCACAAATGTGTCTATGCCAAGTGTACTCAAAGGGATGAGTAGTACAAGTGGATGGGATAGAAGGACTTGAGCTGTCTATGCAAAAGATTTCTTGGGTAGGTGGTGAGGGTAAATGCCCTCACCAACAAAGATGCTTATCTCAGACCAAATAGAAATGTGTTATGAGGCACGTAATGCAGGTATTTATAGTGCAGTACTCAGGCATGTCAGGCTGTCCCCATGGGTTGCCTGTCATTTCTCTTGTACGAACTGTACTGACAACTGAGCTGACCGCAACTATCTCGACTGCCACGATACCGGTGGCGGCTCATCACGAGCCACATATCCCAGCATTAATTAGGCTGATGTGACGTTTCTTCGAACACATCTTGGACGAGGCACTCGAGGAAGAGTGCGATAGTGAAGGTAAAAAAGGAGACTCCCGAGGTTAAAGCCATGATTAGTCATAATGCGCCCGTGGGCGGGTTCATGTCTACCATTACCCCTCTGGACTCTTCCCTAAGGCCTTTGTCGAGGTGCCCAATAAAGAAGACCCACATAATTTCAATACTTCAGCCACCAATTTACATGTCTCATTATCTCAAATGTTGATTCGGACCAATGACTCCAGTTACCATAGAACTCCTTTTGAATCCCAGTCAAGCACATCCTTGCTCAAACAAACTAAAACTTCGAAACTCTGCTCGAGGCTAAGGTTGACAATCATGCTCGTCTGCCTCGTTGCTCAGTTCTCCCTTGAGGAAAGTCATACTACCCGGTCCCTCGGTGAGAACCTCTCCTCTTAGTCTACTGAGCCAGTTGAGCAACGACATTCCAATGATTGATTTTACCATAACAAAAATCCAATGGGTTCCAAGTTCTCTATAGAGGTCCCAATCTGAGGGTACCCACTGAGGAAAAGTTGAGGATACAAATTCTATCCATTGTGAGATCCCAACTTTGTCTCTTATTTCCGTAGTGGGGGAGGCGAATCAAGTTGAGGTTGCGCCCATACTTCCCAGCTGCCACTCTTATCCGTTCTTGGTCAAGGATCCATTTTGCCACTTCCCATGTGATGCGGATGTGTCCCACCCTTCAATAGTGCTTGATGCTTCCCGATGCCTGCCGTGGCACAAGGTACGTACCGTGACACTGGGTGTTGTCGCAGCAACACCCCGTCGCGATGCTATTGCCTGTACCAATTCTGTGGGACCCTGTTGAGCCCCACTCACATGTCATTTGTCCTTCCACATTGTAGACATATGTCCAGAATTTATTGGATACTAAAGATATTTTCCAACTAACAGTTGTTATACAACACAAGAACAAGAATTTCAGCAAAAAATTTGGCATACTATAGACTGAATTGCAAGGGTCACCTAGAAAAAGAGATTTAGGTAGTAGTAATTCATGGAGTGATCAGTGTGGAAAATAGTTGTCTGAGATTTTCCACCTGACACATTATACAGCACAAGAATAGCCCGAACATTATATTGTATCATATGAAAAAATCTCCCCCCTACCACATCAAGAGCATTGCCCCTTACATAACTTTGGCTTTTAAATTGAGATGATACTATTATTCTCCAATATAATTTCTTCACCACAAAAATGATTTAACGCACCATGATGTTTCAAAAGAGACTGAGCAACAGATATAGCAAAATGTTCCCAAGCATAACACACAAATGCATTATCAAATTGAAAGAGGAAACTAGGGTGAGAGACTTACAACTGCCAGTTTGTTGACCAAGCTTTGCCATGTCCCAGACCTGCAGAACACAGTTAGTACATTGCAAACACCAAAACCAAGTAGATATTGATTAAGCAAACTATAAGGAGAAACAATGAAACCTTCAGTGATGAGTCAGAAAATCCACCAGCAACCATGGATCCATCTGCAGATATTGATGAACAGTTCAAACTGCAACACATTTGACACAAAGATCAACGGTTGTGCACAAACAGAAGTCGGAAAAAAATAAGTCAGAGAAGACAACTTTCTCAATCAAGTGGCATACCCATTATGCGTGTTAATAAACGTATAGAAGCTGACTGAAGGCAGCGCGATACTACTCAACTGTACGCGGTTCCGTAGGTCTTCAAGAATAGAATGCTCTACTTCTGTTGGCCTGAGATGGACCACATAACATCAGCATCATTGTTTCTCAGCTCTCAACCCTACCAAAGCTAATATAAAATGAATCCTTTCATGATAGCATCATAATCACAGTTGACGTGGAAGAGCATAAATTATGATGAACTCTGTGCAATATCGTCCAATGCATATTTCCCACCCGTAAAAATGATTCAACAAGAAGGCTAATAGAAAAAGAAAGGTTGCTTTTGCAGGTGTTTTATTCCCCCTTACGCCACTTTAAAGTACCGAAGGGACTGTCTGGGTGCAAACAGCTTGTGCATGTGCGTGCAAGATGCAAGTGCAAGTGGGTGGCTGTGTGTGTGTATGCGCATTAGTACATATCCACACATTTACATGCACAACATAGGTGTTAACAGAGCTGGAGAAAAATAATACCGTACAAATGAAGGTAGTTTACTTACAAACTACTACTACAAGAAACAATTCAGAAAGATTTATTTTGATGCTCAACTTTTTTAAAGAGAAGGTGAATGCAAGAAGAGACTCGAGAAAAAAGCGAGTGATGGCAATTGTTGGAAATTAACTTTAAAATTAAAGAAGAAAAACTCCCACAAAACATGCTTACAAAGATTCGCCCTCATGAAAGTGACTGGAATTCATGTCCCATGTTCCTTCTTTTAAATGTCTACTATGTTATTCCCACTTCTCAAACCAAAGTTGCAATACAACTTTTTCATGTTTCCTTTAAGATATCAATAAAATTTACAAAGAGGCATATATTCATTTCCAGTTACATATTCCATGAAACTATACAAAGTGGCACAACATAATATGCTGTAAAATAACTTATATTCCTTTTGGGAGCAAAAATAAAGAAAGCATGTAAATAATGTTCGAATATTGCAAGTAAGAGGAAGAGTGAGTTTCACTTTTTGTCCTGGATCCCTAACAGATCTGATGTGGTCACAACCATTGGTATCAATAAAATGACTTCTACTACCTCCAATAGCTGCACAACCATGGCAATAAACCAAACCCAAAAATAACCTATGCCTCATCCTTCACACCAACATTCTAGGCAAGGTGAAAATGCTGTAAAAAATCATTGACCATGAAAACAACATTAATCTTCTATATTTTTTACAAATAGTGTCCTCTTAAAGGGCTTACATCCAAACATTCAGACCTAAGAAACATGAACGCTACTAAAAATTGTTGCGCTCATGTCGAGCACAATCCAGTGATAGAAATGTCTTGAATACTATTGAACATGTGTTTTGACCCTCTTATGGCAATGTCTCTGATGCTCCTTACACTATGTCTATGAGTATAAAGATGTGATCGAAACAAGATATGCTAACATGTGATAAACAAAACTGTTATGGATGCATGTGTTATCCTTTTATGGGATTTGTGGAGAAAGGCAGCTAGTTTATTCACTTCTGTTCTGATGGCGTGATGAAATACAAAGTAAGGTAGAGATTTGTTGTGGATGTCTTGTTTTCTACTCCTAGTAAAAAACAGGTTTAAATTTGTTCTCGTTAGGGATTTGAAAAAGTGGGTGTCTTAAAACTTCACTTCAAGTAAAAGACCAATTACAAACCCTGTTGTATTAGGAGGCAAAGTATTTTAGGTCTATAAATAGATTATATTCTCTATGCTAGAAAATTTTGTGTAATCTCCTTTTTATTGATAGTGAAACTTTGTCGCTATGTATACACACAAATATATGTAGATCAATTCAAAAGCCTACTCTACAAGCGAAATGTAGCAACAAAAGGAAGATTTGACAAAATTCTCTAGCCCAGAGAATATAACCCAACATGGATGCCCAAAACTGAGGGGGCCAAAATTCCCAAAAGAAAATGATTGGTCTATAATCTATTTATAGACTCAAAATACTTTCTCCTAATACAATAATGTTTGTAATTGGTCTTTTAGTTAAAGTGGAGTTGTAAGCCGTCCACTTTTTCAAATCCCTAAGAAAAACAAATTTCAAACCAGTTTCCTACTAGGAGTGGATTACAAGACATCCACAACAAATCTCCACCTTGACTTATATTCCATTAAGCCAACAAAACAAAAGTGCACGAACTAGCTGCCTTCTCTACAAATCTCATAAAGGGATAACACAAACATCCATAACAAATATCCACATGTGTACCCACCAAGTCATTAAAACAAAGTGAATATAACTTGTTGCCTTCTCAAGAATAATAAATATATTGAATCTCTATCGGAGGTGATCACAATATCTCATCAAGAACTTTTGTCAAAGTATTCCATCAACGCAACGATATGCATCTAGATCAAACTATTCAGAACACAAGTTTTATAAATTGAATTGTTATGTAGCAATCTCGACACCAAAGCTCTGATACCAGTTTGTTATTGTTAAGAGTATTAGGGTAGTATATGTAAATTGTTAATAGTGTTAGGGTATTATGTGTAAATACAAGAGGGTGTGTATGTGTAATTCTTATGATTATGAGTTACCTATAAATACAAGTGATGTATGAGAGCTAAGTTAGGTTTTGAACCCCTCTCTCTCTAATATTGTGTTATGTTAATTCTCTCAACCTAACATGGTATCAGAGCAAGGTTATTTTTCAATACAAATATTAATCCTGGTTTGTTACTGTCAATGTGGTGTTGTTGTCATTGGTATAGTCGACGTTGGTGGTGTCGACTTAGTCTGGTTTTCTGCTTCATGGTGGTGCAGTCGACTAGTGGCATCGTTGGTGACGTCTATCTTCGTGGTGGTGTAGTCGACCTTGGTGGAGTTTGATTTTTGCCTCGTAATCTGTTGTGGTGGTGTTCCACAGTGAAGGAATAGGGTTTGGTAGAAACCCTAACCAGTGAAGGAGAAGACCCTGTTCAAGTGGGTCAGTTTACGGGTTTGGGTAAAAGATCCAAGTCCAAATCCAGACCTTGATCCAAGATCCAAACCAGACTGGTCCAAGTCTAGTTCAATCAGTTTTAGACCAGTTCAAACCAGCTTATTTGGTCTGGTTCAGCGGTCCAGTGGGCTTATCTGGTCTGGTTCAACGGTCTACTAGGCTTCTTTGGTCCGGTTCGGTGTTCTAGCATGTCTTTCTGGTCCAATTCAGTGCTTCAGTGGGTCTCTCTAGTCCGGTTCAGCAATCCAGCCAGCCTATTCTTCTCGGTTCAGTGGTCTAGCAAGCCCAGCCAATCCGATTTAGCCTTCTAGCAGCCTTCTTTTCTCTGGTTCAGTATTGCAGCACTTCTTGTTTCATATTTGCTGCACTGTAATGGAACCCAAACAAGATACCAGGTCTCTTACTTCGTCTTTGTCACCCCTATTCTTATCAATGGTCCTATTACCTCTGTTAAACTCAATGGGATCAATTATACTTTATAGTCCCGATCCGCTCAAGTATTTCTTCGAGGCAAAGGATTTAAGAAATATTTGGTGGATCCTAAGCCCAAGGAAGATACTCTTGGGTATGATTAGTGGGAACAAGATGACGCTCAAATTATGTCTTTACTATTGAATAGCATTGAGTCTAGTATTAGTTCTACTCTACTCTACCTTGACACTGCCAAGGAGATATGGAATCACTTGGCCACTATGTATTCTGGTACAGGTAATTTTATCCCGTGCGTATGAGGTGTGCAAGGAGTACTTCCGGTTAGAGTAGGGTACTCTAAGCCTTGCGGATTATTACTCTCATATTCGGAGAGTCTGTGAAGAGATAAAGACCTACCATCCGTTTACTACTGGTGTAGCAGTTTAGCAGAAGCAACATGAGGACCTGAATGTTGTTAGGTTTTTGGTAGGATTGAAACCTAAATATGAGGCTATTCGTTCTCAGATTTTGGGTAGTTCTAGTCTTCCATCACTGCTCGAGGATTTCTCTCGTTTACAGCATGCTACACTGTCTACCCCTTCAAGCATTGATCATGGTATCTCCACTGATCGCTCAGTTCTTGTGGTTCCTAGTGGCCACAGTGATGGTCATCACGGTGGTCGTAGTGGTCAAGGAGGTCGTACAGGTGGTCGTGGGGGTTGTAGTGAATCCCGTTCTTGTACTCACTATGGTCGTAGAGGACACACTGTTGACTTCTATTGGGATTTACATGAAAAATCTTCTGGTGCTGCTAATCAGGCTTCTTATTCGGATGACACCTCGGTTGTTGCTTCTATACCTCGGTCAGTTCCACCATACACTGGGTCAGTTACTATTACACTAGTTCGAGAGGAGTATACCCAGTTCCTGTCCCAGCAACAGTCTGTTCCATCTCCCTCCACTGCTACTTTTCCCCAGTTAAGTATTGCTTCCACTTGTTTATTATCCTCCACCTGCAGTCCCTGGATCATAGACTCTGACGTTTTTGACCACATGACTGGTGCGTCTGATATTTTTTCTACTTATCAGTCTACTACTTCCACACGTAATATTACTCTTGTTAATGGTACTTGTTCTAAAGTTTCAGGTCTGAGAACTACTCACTTGAATCCTAATATGTCCCTATCATCCGTGTTATTTGTTCCTCAGTTTCCTTTTAGTTTACTTTCCATTAGTAAGATTACCCGTTCTTTCGATTGTTCTATAACCTTTTATCCTTCTTATTGTGTCTTTCAAGATCTCAAGACAAAGAGGAAGATTGGTACAAGACATGAAGTCAATGGCCTATATTACTTTGATTTTGATTCCACTACTTGAGCTTTACAGACCTCGTTGTCTCCTTTTCAATGACATTGTCGTCTTGAACATCACTCTCTCTAGAATCTGAAGCGTCAAATTCCCAATCTTAGTTGTGTGTCATATGTCTTATGAAACTTGTCAACTTAGTAAGCATCACTGTGTGTCATTTCAGTCTAGAGTCAATAATCGTATATCTAGTCCATTTGAATTGGTGCATTCTAATGTGTGGGGTCCAATAAAAAATATTTCATCTCATAAATATCCTTAATTTATGTCTTTTGTAAATGACTATTCTCGTGTGACTTGATTATTTTTTATGAAACCTCAGTCTGAATTATTCTCTATATTTGAGACATTTCGTAAGGAAATAAAAACTCAGTATGATTGTCGTATACGTATTTTACGTTCTGATAATGCTTGACAATATGAATCTGATCATTTTTCAGCTTATCTAAATAAAACTGATATTATTCATCAGACTTTTTATGCTTACACATCTCCACAGAACGGTGTTGTTGAACGCAAGAACCGTCATTTATTGAAAGTCACCCGTGCTCTGTTATTTCAAATGAATATTCTCCGATATTTTTGAAGTGATATTCTTACTGTTTGTCACCTTATTAATTGTATGACATCCTCTGTGTTAGATA